GTTTTATTACCGCGTGTACTTTAAGGGCACGAAAGGGACTCCTTTCCACGGTGTCAACGGTGTTTCGACACACCGTCTCGACATGGAAGTGAAGCGACCTCGCGAGGACCCGTGCGAACAAGTTCCCACGAACAACACAGCTGTCCCCGTAGTAGGAGTGGCTACAAGGCCCAATCCCCCTTTGCGCTGCCATGCCACGATCCCTACGCAACAGGGTGAGCTACCAAACTCCAAGGTGGACTTATCCCTGAACGTGGCGAGTTCTCCACGTCCCTTCACATCATCACTTCTGGACTCCATCGGTGGGATCGCCCCAGTAGCTCCCACTGTCAAGCCTAGCGAGTACATTAGTGTGTTCGAGGACGACAGTGCTGGTGACACGAACGATTATGTCCCAGACGTGGACCCGATTATGTCGATGGAAGTGGACATACCTTTTCAAGAGGTGTCAGGCCGTAAAATACGCAAGGAGCGGTCGCGCACGACACCTAAAACACTAGCTGTTTGCGCTACGCCGAATTTCTGTCTTACGTACCTACAACGGGGGCTTTCAGCCTCTCCAGTGGAGGGCTGACCGGGATACTGTTACGATGATTCCTACGTTCGAGCTTCGAATGCTCGACGAGGATGAGCGTAATCAATGTATCACTACGATGCAGCAGTCAGACAACACACTTACGTTTGACGTAGAGACGATGTCGATTGGGCGACTTCACGACATCCTTACAGCGTCCATCGCTCAAGTGCATGCGGAGGATGTCGTCGACACTGAGCGTACCTTTGCCGAGGCTCTAGAGGACGACCTCAGTGGGCTATCGGAGCTCGTCCTAAAAGGCCAGGCGGATAAGTTTCGGACGCAGGTTCAAAAGAAACACCTGTCCGCCAATGTGACGCTACACGACATGGCCAAATGCGACCGTATCACGCTGACATCAGTGGTTCATTTACACACATGGCATCGATAGTTTGCAGCGACGTCAGGGAGAAAGGTACAATCCTTCGCCGCCGATACGTACAAAAGCACATCTACGGAAAGACGAAGATACGCTCAACTGCAGTGTCGGCGAGAGGAACTTCAGGTAGCCACTGTCGGCGACATGCTGGAACCTGTGAAGGACCACTAGATCCAAGTAGAGGACGCATTGTCTCTCTTGGAACTATGGCTGTGTGTCATGGCACCTACCTTCTACCGGCACGATGCATGGGTGCTGTGCTTGACAGGGCACCCTGAAATTTGGCTGCCGTCGGGAGGTGGACGGCTCCTCACTCCAAACACCTTGCTTCAAATCCTACAAACTCACTTGGGACGAAGCACTTTGGAACGGTTGGTGGTGCTTTCACCTGACCACGATGTTGTCGGTCAATTGTCTGCAATGCGCGCATTGGCACAAGTCTACGACGACGATCAAACCATGGTAGTGGCGAAAGAAGGAACACACCGCGTCCTTCGACTCGACCAGCTTGGTCTTGCGCTGCCAGCGCGTCGGAC